CTTATAGGGAAAGGGCTTAATAAACATGCTAAATATTTACTCAGTTATAATAAATGTGTAAAAACAAATGTGTGTAAAGAGAGAGAATTAAACAAATACTGAGATAATGAAGTATATAAATGCAGTTACAATTGGTAACTAATAATACAAGTTAAATCATAAAAAAAAAAATCAAATCACTCAGGCTTCACAACCCATGGTTCAGTTCCCACGATAATTTGTCAATGAAAGGAAGACGTTGTGTCTTCACAGGTCACTCGGATGGAATGGCTCGTGAACAAGACAGCTAACGTTACGTATTGATCTAATTTACAGTAAACATATACTTTATAATTACTTCATAATCACTTTATATTTTACATACTGTATGCTATTACTTGTTTCTAAAAGTCTGGAAGTCTGAACTTATGTTTATGATGACCTTAAAAACCTTGTGATCCAAATGTAAATTGTATAAATGTAATACATAAATAGATCCATACATAAAAAAAAATAAAAATGAATGAATGAATGAATGAATGCATAGAGTAGGCTATGTTTGTCCAAAAATTTGGTATAGTATTTTATTTATTTATTTTAAATAAAATGTATGTAATGTAAATGTAATCTAAAATGTTTTGGTGAGCTTGCAGAAAAATACATTTGATTATGTCATCAAGTACTGGTGTTTTCCTCTCTCTCTCTCTCTCTCTCTCTCTCTCTCTCTCTCTCTCTCACACACACACACACAGATTAAAAAAAAAAAATCAAATCAAAGTCACTGTCCTTTATCCCTATTTGTTACATTTACAGCAATGGTAACTGTCAGAAAATTAAACCATCAAGCCTCAGTTAATCAGTCAGAGATAAATATTGCTTATGATGTCCAAATATTATTGTTCTTTCATTATCTTTTTATGGTGCACATCTCAACAGCAAAACCATAAACTGAGGCTGGCATTGATCTGGGGAAGAATAATAATTGTAACACTCAAGGGACACCCAAAACAAGATCCATAAAAGGTTGCATAAAAGCTCTCCATAACTGTAGGAGAGTGCAAAAAAGCATGTTTATACGAACTTGAAACAAATGCCATTCCCAAATACAAAAGTTGACAGTTCAACGATGGTTCACTGGGATAATACCCAACCCACCCTCACCCCAAATCCAGATTACAGTCAAATTAGGACAGTATTGTCCTCGCTACAAAAGCACAAGTGAAAATATCAAATGTCATTTTATAATACTGTATAGTATCTCATGAGTCAAAGTATGGGCAGCTCTTCATCTCTTTAGTGCAGGGGTGATGGTCAGGTCAACCTCATCATCTCCCTGCTCTGGATTATAGATTATAGCTGTAATCCGGAATTGAGGACACGCTTCGAAAATACTAAAAACAACCAAGGCCAGAAGGACAAACTAAAGTATTTGAATATTCACATATTAAATAAAAAAGCACAAGGAATTCAAAGGCTGGATTGGATCAGGGGTTCTCAACACAAATTTTAAAAGTTAAAGAGGAAGAAAAAAAACTTAATTATAATTTATAATTGATTTATTGTGCAAGCTGTCTAACATCACTAATTAAAACACACATACACACACAAAAAAAGAAGCAAAAATAAATAAACAAAATGAACAATACAAAATTACATAAACTAGACCTCGATCAACTAGTCAGTCATTGAAGTCAAATATTGTTTTTTTGGACCTTGAGGCTGTAATAAAAGTTTTAAATTGAAAAAAAAAAAAAAAAAAGTAACCCATCCATATCCTTAATATATAAAACAATGTCCAAAGCTGCACACCTTATCCGGAAAGGCATGGATCATGGCTTCAAAACGAAAAACAAATTCTACTGAACAATAAGAAACATATTTGGCAGAGCCTTCTTATTTTTGCTGGATAACAGAAGAGCCAGGGGAGAGCACAATATCATAGCTATATAAAACTGTATATCACTATGCTAAAATGAGTGTGAGAGTGTAAACTCTATGAATGAAATGAGCACAATGATCCCAAATCAGTAGCTGCATTGCCAACTCTTCACGTCTTTCAGATATCAGAGCCTGCCAGCTGAGTACCGGTAATATTAATTAAAATACTACATTTTCTACTATTTGATATGTCCACTTATACGTTGTATGAAATGATACACAAATGAGTGTAAACAATATGAATGAAGTGAGCACAGTCGCAAATCAAACATCCAATTGCCGTCTCTGCACGTCTCTCAGAAATAAAAGCTTGACAAGAGTAATATCAACTAAGATACTGAATGATTGTCCTCCTGACAAAACACACAATGTTCATCTGGAAAGTAATTATAAGATGTATTATTATTGTTTTAATTAGAGTATATTTAAAGATGATGATAAAAAAGTTATACAAGGCATATTTGTTCAATTTAAAACTATGAAGGGAACAAGCTTCTCTGCTGCACTCCCCCTACTTAATACAATCTTTTGGTCCACAATTACCATTTGATATCCACTGAATGCAACTTCCAAACCTAACAAACCATGGTACACACAGACATCAGGTCACTGTTAATAAGTACACCAAATGTTGTCCAATTCCATCCACAGGGAGCCATTATAACTAACCATTCAAGCTGGCCATATTTTCCTTCAATGCCATATAATGTCCTAAAGCGGGGATCTGAAATCCTACTCTTGGAGAGCCAATGTTCTGCAGAGTTCTGCCTGCAAGTTTGTGCTGATCCTGAGGACCTTGACTAGCTGGTTCAGGTGTGTTTAATTAGGGTTTGGGCTAAACCCTGCATGATACTAGCCGCTTCTCCATTACCCTTCAAATTGCGCAAATTGAAATTGCGAAAGGAAAATATGCACAATGGAAACTCGTCCATTTCGCAAAAAACTCCTGTTTGTCGCAAAAAAGTTTTTACGCTCGCATGAGGAGGTTTTTCAGGCAATTCGAAAAAGGAATATTTCGCAAGACTGCAATGGAAACGGGTTTTGTGCATTTACAGTCACCTGACTTAGAAGACGCGGTGTGTTTTGGGTCCGTGTCCGCAAATAATAATAATTATTATCATCATTATTATAACATTTATTAGGCTTCATATGTAGAAGACGCTTTTATCCATAAAAGGAACAAAGAAATTCACATTTCATTCATAATACAGGTTGGACAATAATACTAGGGCTAAGATTATCACAAATAAACACAGGAATTTGACGCATATCCAAGTGTGTGCGGAGTGTGGAGCGCACACTGGACGGCAGTGTGGCGCAGGCGTGAGCACTTGCATTTTCCTATCAACAGTGGAAACAACTTAAAATACTCTATGATTTCTGCTCGTACAGAAAATAATAATACATTATTCACAACTACTTTTATTTGCGTAATCTCACAATAACAAGAAAACGTTGTGCTTTTGTAAAATACCATAAAACAATCAGGCGCGCTTTCATGGTCTTCGTGAACTGGAGCGCGAGAACTGAAACAATGTAGACTAAAGCTTGAAATGTCCACTTTAAAAGGAACAAATTAAAATCGAAATATACCTTCTGATTATGTAATCCGTATGAAAGGTGTATTTCTCTTTAAAGGTGCATCAGGAGATGGAGATATGTTTTAGCCGAAACTGATTTAGGAAAACAATAGTTTATTAATAAAAAAAAATTAAATGCCTCGCTATTTTTTCAGACACATTTATTATAGCCTATAACTTGCCTATAAATCACCTTTATGTAGGAAAAATATAATTTCCAGGTTCTAATTTGGCCTTAGAAAACCAGTAAATCTACATTTTTTCTCCATATTAATTCGTGAATATTTAAAATGTTTAATAAATGGGCAAAAAGTCATAAACAAATATATGAAAATTCGTCTATAGCTATATATATATATATATATATATATATATATATGGTCCCACTTTATATTAAGTGGCTTTAAGTACTATGTACTTACATTGAAGTTACTACTTTGATACATTGGACTTATTGTGTACATACATGTTTTTACATTGTACTTATATTTTGAAAATACCTGCATGTAATTACAACTGTAATTAATTGATGTAATTACATTTGTAATTACACAGTTGACCCTTCCCTTACACCTTAACCCACCCTGACACCTACCCATACCACCACACCTGTCCCTAACCTTACCCATACCACACCTCAATAGCAGCAAAAGTGTTTTACAATACAACCTGAACACAATAAGTACATTGTACTTATTTTCCTATGTAAGTACGCAGTACTTAAAGCCACTTAATATAAGTACATTGTACTTATTTTCCTATGTAAGTACGCAGTACTTAAAGCCACTTAATATAAAGTGGGACCATATATATATATATATATATATATATATATATATATATATATATATTGGTTTGGTGTACAGGTCAAACTAAAATGTTTGGTGTTCAACTTTGCGTTTTAAAAATACCACGACCGTTTATTTTTCGTTTTGCAATTACGGGTTAAATAAGGGAAAACGAATGCAAGTACACTGTCCGTTTGGACATAATACGAGACATAGTTCTTTATTAAATTCATAAAAGAAACAATAATTACAGGAATCGCGTACTGGACTCTAAACCTCAAAGAAATGCCAGAAAATGAAAATGTCAGAAATGAGGGAGAAACACCCAGGAACTCTGTGTCTTTCCCTGTCATTGATGCTTGAATAACACACCACGTCTCCATCCATTAATTACAATAATGTCTAGTGCGGCGGCTGCATATAGGCTATAAACCTACCAACATCCGTTGCCATGTTTTTTTGGGATGTGTTATCGCGAGAGGAAAAAAATAAGTTTTAGTCGCATAATATCGGTTAAAGGAAACACCGTAACTTCGCAATAGTTTTTTATCAACATTTAGAAAATATCGCAAAAGTTTTGCGCAAATCTGGAATGAAAACACACCTAGTGGCCCTCCAGAAAGAGGATTGGGCACCCTTTGCGCAGCCTTGGTTACCAATAAGTAAAGGGTAAGAGAGGCGAAATATGAATTATGATGCAGATGTGGTTGCTTACCTGCTGAAACACGAGGGCAGTCATTGAGCATGGGGTCCACTAGAGTATCCAGGGGCTCAGGACTCGACACCCAGTTACAGCAGTGCTGTGAGATGGGAAAACAAAGGGGGGGAGGGAGACAGGAGCAAGCAATTAGGTACCTTTGAGACATGCCACAGTGACAGTTTTGACTGTTTTTGTAGGGAAGGAGCGGGCACATCGCTGGTGGCCCTCCAAGGGGTGTTTGCTTGGCCTAGTGACCTAGCCAACCTTAAAATGCCATCAGCCAGGTTCCTGAGAGACCACCTCTCAGCATACTCTTCAATCCAGAGCGTACATCTTCAGCTAAAACAAGTTTAACCAGGCATGTTTGGTTGAGAAAATCATCGTCTGTGTGCTATGTTTTCACTCGTACATGAAGGCAGAACGTGTATAATGGAAACAATCGTATTGTTTACTGTAGATGGGGTGAAGAGTTGAAAAAAGTTACAAAGGCATTCATGGAAAAGAGAGGTCTGGAGATAAGATAAAACACGCTGAATAGAAGACAGAGAAATTTAAACGAGATTAGCGTATTGCAGCTGGCGTCCTTGTGAAGCGCTGCTTATCTAGGGTTGTTTACTATCGCAGACATAGCACTGTCAGCCATTACCACTGCCATGGGGACTGTAACCCACCCGTGCACACAAATATGGACAGAAAGACAGACAGATACCCACAAACACAATGCTATCTAACCCTCAACCAACTCCCAAGACAATCTCCCCTGACAGAGCGGGAGATTCAACCATCCCAGACGGAGCCCCAGGTCACATCACACCTCAGCCTGTCAACCTCCTTCACCTCTGAGCCCTGTGTCACCCCAGGGGTCACCACACTCCCACCCCAACAGGGACCCTCTATGGGTGTGTGTGTTTGGCTAACAGGGCAGTGGTATGTTGGAAAGCACAGGAATTGGATTTTTAATCAAAGCATTCTTGGTTAACTCATAATAATGTGTATAATGATAAATCAATTGAAGAAACAACCTGACGCTGAAGTCTGGGGTGGATGTGACAGTGGTGTTTGTAGTCTAGAGCGCAGTTAAGACTTTGAGATGACAAAAGTGTAAACATTAACAATAATGCAAATACTCCCAACAGGAAGTGGATAAAGAAAACAGCCACATCAGATGCAAACTGAGATGCACTATTAAAGACATTATTTAATACAGTAATTCATTAATCCACCGTTAAAGTTCTTAGACACAGTGTAAATTGGAGTGCCTAAAATCGTTGGAATTTTTAAGAATACTACTGTTAAAAAGTTTGGGGTAATAAAGATGTATAATGTTCTGAAAGAAGCTGCATTAATACATTTAAAACGTAATAGCATTATTAATATTAATCCCATTACGTTACAACTTTCGTTCATCTTCGAAACACAAATGAAGATCTTTCTGATGAAATCTGAGAGCTTCGTGTCCCTCCATTGACAGTCTACACAATTACTAGCCTGGTTCAACCAGACTCTAGTACATTTCATTTGTACATAGAGTCTGGCCTCCCTCAATTGAGAAACGTTTCCTTCCTTGTAGGCGGGTTCACTATTAAAGTTCAAATCTATTGGATCTGCCCAGAGTCACTCACGATCTGCCATAGCCAATCGGTAATGTGTGGTCGTGAGTGACGTATGTCATGCGCCGAAACGGCTGGAAACAACCATAGACAGTAAAAGAAACAACAAGTCCGAACTCCGAATGATCAGAGGATTAAATTTAAGTCAACAATTGTTACAATTTCAGTCAACGAGAGCTGCAGGTTTTGTTAATCTAGGAACAATTATTAATTCGAAATGTATATTTGACATGAAGGACAGTGATTATTCAGTCAATGGTCGAAGCTGTGTCTAATCATTACAAATACGCCGCTGTGGTCGTTTTCTGATCTGCCGCAAATCTGCTGATCTGCCGGCTTAAGTCCAAAATGTCACGGTCATTGTGCACGAGCTGCCCAGCACAAACTTCCAACCTTTCAGCCTCCTTCACTTGGTCCTCAGTTGTGCAACAAGAGGTGAGACGATAACAATCCGGCTTTAAATTCTGTATATTCGGCAGTTTCTTTACCAACAACGGACCGACTGGCTTTTCTCACGTCTTTCTCCGCTGCCATTACTGCACTCAAACTGACGCACTACATCAACGTCATCGTTCTCAGCCACTCCCTCTATTCGCTGATTGGTCCTACAAAAAATTGATTTCTGGAAACCTAAGGATATGGAGCGGTCCCAGACGTAGTACTGAAGTAAAATGAAATTGAGCGGAAGTGCGTAGGAGGGCGCAGCCAGGCTACACAATTACTACTTTGACTGACAAAAAGTTCATAAAGAGATCATAAAACTAATTTTACTAATTTTACTAATTTTTAAATTTTATGTAGACACACAATCCCTTAATATAAATAACAGATTGAGTTTACGCTTTTGAAAAAGATTTTCATTTGTGTCCTGAAGATGAACAAAAGTATTGTGGGTTTGGAAGGAAATGAGGATGAGTAAATAATGACAGAATTTGAATTTTTGGGTGATATCGCTTTGATATATTTGTGATGCTAACAAAGCTGAATTTTCAGCAACCATTACGCCAGTATTCAGTGTCAGATGTTCTTTTTGAAATCATTATAACATGCCGATTTGCTACTCAATAACCTCTCATTATTATCAATCCTGATAGTTGTTCTGCTTATGTTTGTGGGATTCTTTGGTTCAAAAGGACATCATTTATTTGAAATAGATGTAAAAGTCTGTCACTCCTGATCAATGTGATGCATTCTTGCTGAATAAAACATATTAATTTATTTATATAAAAAATACTGCTCCAAACGAATGGCATACACATGCACTAAATATTTCTGAAAAATGTATTAGTTTTTATAATAATAATATTAAATAAAAACGACAAACAATCTAAACATTTTCAATATAATCTTTTTTTTTTTAGCATGCAACAGCTTCAAGCTCAATTACAACTCTGATATGTAGTTGATAAGCCGTCCCTTCTTCTGGCATGTTTTCCTTACGTATTGCATGACACAAAGTCAAAAAAAGAAGAGAAAAAAAAAAGCCCTGTGCCATGGCTCTGGAGTTCTCCTCTCATTTCTCTTGTCTTTATTCTCCTCTCTTAATCCTGTCAATCGCCTGTGTGCCTGGGATGGGGGAGAAGACAACTGCCATTGGAATGAACAGGCGTGCATTGTCTATTTTTAGAATTCCTGCTGCACTAGTTGTGCACCATGGAGCCGGGCCAGTGAGAGGAGCGCTCCCTGACTGCTGCATCAAGTGTCTTATTGTACAATCTTAATTCATGCCGTCTGGAGAAAGATGTCAGCTGGCCTGGAAGCAAGGGCAGGAATTTCAAAGACCGGAGTCCCAGCCAGAGTAAGTGGCAAAGAGGCGGGGGGTGGGAAGAGGCTTCAACAGATTTGTCAGGGCTGGCTGATGCACCAGGATGAGTTTTAGATGAAACAGAAGGCCAAGGCCACTATGTAAGAGGATGACACAGCTTTAAAAGAACAGATAAAACTGCAAGAATGGTGGAGGGATTTTTTTTTTGGGGGGGGATAGAGAAGATCTTGGAAGTGCTCCAATCTATTTGAGAAATCTGATGGCTTGTGGTTGCCCTGAATAGCTTTAAAATAACAATTTAATCTCTATATATCCTCATAATATGGCCCTTTAGCTGATAAAGCTAAGTAGAAGTGTCTGATAATACAAGTACAAACCAAGAATTAATTAGACTAATTGGATATGAACAAATATACTTTGTTTATAGTCTAGTAGAGAAAAACTGATTTTAATTTAAGCTTTCATCTCTCCCTTACGAGGAAAGGCCTTCAATATTTCTGGTGCTGACTCCACATATACAGTATCTACCTTGGATGCAAGAGCGCAGATGCGTCCATTTTTAACTTGAATGTGCAAGGATTATGGTGTCAGTTGCTTCCAGTTACTGTACATGTGCAAAAACATTTATCAAACCCACTTGTTTGTACCGTAAATAGTTTTGCCGTTTACTGCACTATGTTATTCTTCTAGGTATTTACCTATAACAGCTAATGAGTCTCATACAGGAAATAGCTTACTTCTGCATTGCAAAATAAGTTGGATACCAGGAAAAAAAAGTCAATAATAGAATTCAGGATCCAGTTTATCTATAAATGTTTTAGTGCTGGGCAATGATTAATAGACCTTTTTCACAAAAACCGGAAATACGTAATCGTTGTGGAAACGGAGTTCCCGTCAACTGTCGACACATTAGAAAAACCTACTCTGGGAGGAGAAAATTGATCAGAGAGTCTTCAAAACTTCGAAAAAAATGTAAACTTGTCATGGTCCATTAGTTGATGACTTTGTAAAATGCTGTGGTGATGCTTGTCTGCAGCTGATGTATCTAAGACCAAAGATATGATATTGATTTCAGAACTGAAGCTCATTCTTCCCAATATACGTTCATTAAGGGTAAGAAGGTGGAGTGTGTTGAAAGTTATTAATATTTAGGGAGTATTATTTACAATAAACTGCATTTTGATGTGAATACCATAAAGAAGTCTGTCAGTTTTATTCAACAGTTATCCTGAATTTTTTGCACTGCTGTTGCTATAGAACGATCAAAGATGAAGAAAAATTATACAAATATTAATTTATCCCTTGTACACTCAGATTGTTAAATACTCAGAATGGTATATATTAATATTTAAATTTATATGTAGCCCACTGTTGTGTGTTCTTATTTATCTTGTTTTATATTGTGGTGTATATTTTTATGTGCTTATTCCGCTGGATACAAACATCTTAATAAAGTTGAACATGAACTAACGTTACTTCAAAAATACACAAAACATAAAAAATAAACAAACAATGACGGCTTATTAGTGAATGGTGACATGAGAAGTACAGAAGATCACAGGATCAATAACATCCCGCCAGATTGCCTGAATCCAGTTCCTTCGAACTTCATCGACAGGGAACTGACGAGGGAAGGAATGAAAACGACAGGTATGGCTGCTTTTGGGAATAACCAAAAAGTGCGCAACAAATCTCACTAGTTGCCTTCGGCGCTATCTGTTATGAATGGAGCGGAAGAAGATTACCACGACAATTGCGTATTTCCGGTCACAAATATGGAAGTTGTGAGAAAGGTCTATTGCAACTAATCACATACAAATTAAAAGTTTGTGTTTACATGTGTGTGTACTGTAAATAATTATTTTGTATGGATATATGGATGCATGGATGGATGGATGGATAGATGGATAGATAGATAGAAATATTTAATATATAATTACATTTTTTTTCTTAAAAAGTAATTGTACACAGTACACACACACATATCATGTAAACTACACAAACTTTTATTTTGGATGTGATTAATTGCAATTAATTGTTGCCCAGCTCTAATATTTTTTAAAGGTTAGTTTATCCTTCAAGTCATTCCATACCTGTATGGCTTTATTTTATCTGTGGAACACAAAAGACCACAGTTATAAATAACAGAAGAAGATAGAAGTATTTATCCTTATAATAAAAGTCGGTGGGTCCAATATTTTTGTTTTGGACCCCACTGGCATTCATTGTATGGGCTAAAACTTTGCCAAAACTTTGGGCCAAAATGTTGAATTTTTGAGTGAAATAATTGCCATGCTGTATGCAGTGTTTTAGTTGCATATCTAATTTCATCCCGTTAAAGCGCTGTCATGCCAGCAATCAAAGTTCAACTTTGCACACACATACACACAAAAAAAAAAAGAAATCCACAGCCTTCAAAAGTAAATTTCAAGACAATTCCCATCAGACTTACAGATAATGCACTGTGAGCAAGTATGTGTTCACATACTGATACAGTTCAGAGACAGAAAATTGGCATACCTTGTGTTTTCAAATGATGAAGTACAGCAGACACCAACTAAATAAAACGAGCTGGGTTAGTTTTTGAATGCTCTCCATTAGATGTGTACGGAAACAGCCATCACACAAACCGTTTACGCAACACACCCAAATCCAATCCCAGCTGAAGCTGCACAAAATGAAAAACGACAAACGGACACAAATGAGCGATAATAGTCTACGGCAAGGCCCATCAGCATTAATCAGGGCCATATGGTTGTGGTATTCCCTGCTCCTCTGGGCTGGGAGATGGGGTGCTAGAGCATGGTGGGACTCTAAGCGGACTCCTAATGGCTCAGTTAGAGAAGGTAAACGGAAGACAGGTGTTGGATCCCATTGAGAAAGATCTCTCTTACATGCATGCACTTATTAACCATCCCTGTGCCTGGCCTCTTACCTATAGCTGCCCTTTAACATGCTGTATTTTGCTCAATCAGTCCTGTATTCTACAAGACAGATGACTGTCTTGAGCAACATGCTGCCATAGTCAAATGTACACTGTAAAAAGGAATTGTTGAGAAAACTCAATGCAACCTGATGCATTCAGATTTTTAGTTCCTCACAACTATTGTTTTAAATTTTGTCATAGAGTAGCACTGCTTTGTTTTGTCCAGTTGAAAATTATTTTATAGGTCACTATATAATAATGACACTATGGTCTTTTTGTAGAGCTGCTTTAGAGCAGAAATTAATTCTGTTTGCATCTTTAATGATTATTATCTTTGTATAACTTGAAACAATCTGTATTGTATAACGTGTGTTTTTTTAAAGGTCCCGTTCTTCATGCTTTTTTGAAGCTTTGATTGTGTTTACAGTGTGCAATATAACATGTGTTCATGTTTCGCGAGTAAAAAAACACAGCATTTTTCACACAATTTACTTATCTGTATACAGCTGTTTTCACTGTCCAAAAAATGGCCCGATGACTTCCTTGTTCTATGAAGTCCCTCCTTCAGAAATACGTAACGAGTTCTGATTGTGCCAGCGGTTCCTGTGTTGTGATTCGACAGCAGTTTATCACACGTTGCTCGGAAAGGTCACGCCTCTTACCATAAATTGGAGATGCATGCGCATCTGAAGTGCTCCATGGGAGCGCAGCAAGACCACGCCCCCTTTTTTGTGTATTCCTCTGGGTGGAGATTAGTCAAAAAACTGTTCTAGTTACGTCAATAAAAAAAGGAAGTAGAGGGATGTAGTCCAAACAGGCCGTGCGTGTATGCTTTGAAAGGGGACTTAAATAAAATACCTCGCTAGGCATTGAACTTTGAGCTTTATAATTTTACAGGTATTATTTATGCTCTAACAGCAATATTACACACTAACTAAAGTTTGAAAATAGAATCGCGAAGAACGGAACCTTTAAGTCAGCAAACAGCAAAACAATAATAACAGTAAACTACTGTAATAATTTTCATGCTGCAGTGCATGCTGGGAACTCACAAACCCTCAATATTGTTGAAGCTGAAATTCTGTATACACAAAACTGTCTTTTGGCTAGTTGGGACAACATTTGGGGGGGATTATGTTGGTCTAATTTGAGTTTTTATGTAAATGAATTCACATTTCTTAAAATTTGCGACTCAAAAGGTCCCATAAACAGTAATATATATATATATATATATATATATATATTTTTTTTTTTTTTTTTCATTGCAGATGAGAGTTGGTGTCTGCCATTCTGCTTCTGTGTGAAACCTCTCTCTCTCTCTCTCTACTGGTACGTAATAGAATTGTGTGTTTATATTTTTGGCGTTTTGGTCATTTCTCTTCCCATCACTTCAGCTTTCCAGCTAGGGCAGGTATTCTCATGGACAATGGGTATTTCTTCACTCTGTTTCTTTCTTTTCTCTAGGAGAATGTCCTAGGAGATTTTCTCTTAATGTTTCTTCCCCTTCAGTATATATACCGCTGCTTCCCGAGGGACTCTCCTTCAGGTTGCACTGTTTATGCCTGTCTTTCCCATGTCTCCCTTCCCCCTCTCTCTCCCTCACATGCCCTTAGTCTGACCCATTATCGCCACATCACCTGTCCTACTGCGCTCTCGTCCTGAAAATCCCTCCAATTCTCGGCTCTCATCCTTCCATCTCCACCTCCCTCAGGAGGGAAAGAGGAATTACCACCCCCTTCACGAAAGAGCTCACGATTGTGCAAAGAACGGAGCATCACCTCCGACGAACCCCTACAGAGATGCCTGCCTTGCCAGAAACAGCGATCTCAAACCTGAATAATGTCCAAATCATGATTGCTATGGACGTTACAATAGAAGGGAATAGGGCCATGACCCTGATTAAAGACAAGTCTACGATGGAGACACAGGCAGTGGGAAAACCGAATGCCTTTACACAACTCCAGCTTCCAATTCCTGCTGCAGGAGTAAAAAAAAAGGATTAGGGGGTTAATGGGTGACACGAAAGGACTGAAAGTGACTTTAACATTCCTAAAGTGAGAGTCCACCCTCTGGCTTCAATTACTGGGATGAATTAGATCTGAAAATAAATTAAATAAATAAAATAAAATAAATGGATAGTTCCATAACAAAATTCAAATCATGTCATAATTTACTCACCATCATGTTTTTTTTTTTTTTTTTTCAATGATGATCAGTGAAGTTCAATGTTGTTTTGGATAGAAACAAAGTCATACAGGTTGGGAAAGCCATGAGGGTAAGTAAATAAATAAAAAAATAAAAAATTGGTAAACTATCACTTTAAAGCAAGTCAGCTCATTGAGCAGCCATATTTGTAACTGAATGGGGAAATACTGAAATCTCCTGTATTATTTCAACAAATTGTTTCAAAATCAGCAATAAAATCTGACAACACTGGTATACATGTTGTTATCTCAAATCACGCTAAACAGCAGCATATTTCAAGCTCTTTTAACTTAAAGGCGGGACTTATATTACTATGGCTAGTCATACTAGTTGCTGTCTTATCAAGAAAGAAAGAAAGAAAGAAAGAAAGAAAGAAAGAAAGAAAGAAAGAAAGAAAGAAAGAAAGAAAGAAAGAAAGAAAGAAAGAAAGAAAGAAAGAAAGAAAGAAAGAAAGAAAGAAAGAAAGAAAGAAAGAAAGAAAGATTGGGTGGATGATGAGGTTGGGTGAAGAAAGACGGCCCAAAGACAAACTACAACAGTCCAAGAAAAAAAAAAAAAAATCACCAAGGCAAACAAAAGGCAAGCAAACATCTGACGGAGCAAAGCAGATCAGCAAAGACAAAGGAATGAAAGACATTTTTTTTTTCTGGTGGGCTGGGTGGTCCGCTGTTTCACGGGGAAAGCGGGCGAGAGGCGAGGGTGTGTGTTTGCGCTTGGCATTTGCATGGCTGTCTCCCCTGTAGCCCTGGCTTGGGATCCACTCTCTCATATTTATGTGCATATTGAGTGTTCCCAGGTGTTGTCTCTGGACTCGAGGTCATCGCTGAAAGGGCAGCAACTAAATAAAACTGACATACTAACAGAGCATCTGCCTGCGTGCGGCAGCGTTTGGCTTTGATTTCTTATTGACATCTGCCCAAACAGACAAACAAGAGTGTGGTATGAAGAACAAACTATTGGCTTTCCGTGACTCCTGCTTCGGGAGTGTATCTGCTCGCTGAATGAAATGCCAGGCTGTTTGAGCCGAGCCGTGCGGCCGCTATTGATGCTGTGATTGGGAACATCAAGATTTTGGCATATGCAGTTGATGGAAGATCTTACCTCTCTGAGCCAGTCCTGAATGGACTTGTTGGCCACCTGGTGCCAGACGTTATGGACAGAGTCAGTCATGGCCACCGCACGAACACGATTCTTCACTTCTGCTTCTCGCTGAATCATCTGAGTGTGTGAGAGAGAGGGAGAGAAAGAGAGACATATTAGCATTTAGCATATGATAGCATTGTTTCAATAAAAGCTACAGGATTATCCAAATTTGTGGTGTTTCTTCAAACATAAACATACATTTTAGATTCTCATATACTGTGAAACTCAAGGTAATCGTTCAATAATCATGAAATAAAATAGAATTTCATGACGATACCATCATATGTTATTTGTGAACTGTGCTAAATGTGCTAAACATTACAGTAGGGGCACAAGGTCTGCAATGCATTCTTAAAAAAAAATCTAAAAAAATGCTTCTACATGATAAACACATGTGAAGAGGCACTTCTTTTCATCACTGTATTTTCAAATGTATTCAATCCAAAGGAGTTAGCCTGTCACGCTAACTATTCCATTCAAGATAAACGGCTAGAGAAAAAGGGCCGGTCTGACAACAATAGGTTAACAATCACTTTACGTGATCCATTTTACAGGAGCTACACCTGGCCTGGTGCTACATCAAAGTGTCTATAGTCATTTTAATACATTCCCCAAGCCCATTTAAATTAGAGGGACTGTATAGAGATAAATGGAATCTATTAAGGCACTAAGGACTAATACATCACACCGCTGATAAGCTTTTCTCAGGAGCATCCTCTTAAAGAAAAAAAGGGAGGAAGCACATGTCGGCTCACGCAACAGTCGCACACACACACACACACAAAGAGTGACTAAAACACGCATGGCTAAAACGTATTCCTGTTTCAATGATACCCAAGAGGCCAGCAAATTCAACCTTTTAAAAACTACTTAAAGTGTCAGTTAAGACAGCGTTTGGACTTTGGAAAGCTAACTATATACGTTTCAGATGTATGTGATTCTAAAAAAAAACAAAAAAACAAAAAAAAAAAACGCATGAGATAAATAGAGCTTGGGGGACTTTCAAGCAATACCATGCACTTTGGTGTCCTATAACTATTATTTAAAGACTAAATTAACAGTAAGTAGCATTTCAGTCATTTTCTTCTTCCATGTCTTGTTGTGTTGACTGTATTTGCCAAGTTCAACCATTTAATGCTGCAATAGAAATGTTTTCTTTACCAACACTGACTGACTGACTGAATCAATGTTTTGTACCCTATTGGTGGAAAGCAATGTTGCTGCTAATATGGAAACGTTATGCATGAATATTTAAATCACATGAAAAAGGCATTTAATCTCAGATTTACTTACGCCATGACAAACGCCCTGACAAAATCATGTAAACACAACCTCAAAGCAAGCATGGGCAATGGATATGATGGGAAAAATGATGGAGAGCAGCTTTGATGTGTGTGAATCTGTGATGTTTTCCTTTGGGAAAACTGAAACATATGTATTCGATTTACACCATCACTGCTCTGATTGATGTCCTTCTGTGACAGTCTATGTGCTCCACACACGCTGTCTAAAACTGTATTACACAGACACACAGCGCCCATCAATGTAAACCCAAATTTCAAAATGCCCCGTGGGCAGAGCCAAACACTGAAATTATTAAAAGAACATATGAAAAAATAAATAATTTACTGTCAGTCCAATCAATGCTGGGGAGCGAGTGAGAATGACGGCACGCACGGGACCAAAGCTTTAAAACACTCGTAATCTGCATTCCTCCGTACATTAGTTTAAGCATTATAGCACCACGTGAGCCGCTCTCTCAGCTGGTCTGTACCCATAAAAGAAAGAAACCGGGCAGATGTGCTCATCAACCTCCTGCCCAGAAACAGCGCGGAGAAAAAGCAAACATGTGGAAGTACTTGTTGCGCTAAAATCAACAAAGACAGATGTTGAAACATTTGCTATCTCACTTCTGCCCTTTTCTTTGCACTTGAGCATCTGGCTTAAGGAGGAGAGACAGGGGGAGAGGTGAAGGCGCGATGAAGGAGGCAACGAGACGGAGATGACATCCAGCCTTTGAGATGGAACGAAAACATCACTCCCTCGTTTTCAACACAAGCGTGTTAGCAGTGAAATTACCATTTTTTGAAGAAAACAACTGTGCTTGAACAGCAGCGAAAGATTAGTGTTAAAGTTTTAGGTTTTGTTGCATCAGTTGTTATGAATCTCAATATACATGTATTTTCTCAGTCGGCTGCTCACAAGAATCAACACTTAGTTACTATGCAGTGTAAAAGGAGCTGTAAATGGTTAGAAGACAAATCACAATTCAGTATGCTAATAGATGTAAGAAAGAATACCAGTTGCGATTCATTATGCAAATACTACAGATGATATCACACACACACACACACACACACATATATACTATATATATATATATATATATATGTGTGTGTGTGTGTGTGTATATATACTGTATACATACATACATACATAGATATACATATACATAGATATAAATAGATATACACACAAACTCACCTAAATGATTATTAGGAACACCTGTTCTTTTATTTTATTATATTATATTATATAATTTTATTATAATTAACCAATCACTTGGCAGTTGCTTCAATGCATTTAGGGGTGTGGTCCTGGTCAAGACAATCTCCTGAACTCCAAACTGAATGTCAGAATGGGAAAGAAAGGTAAGGAATTTTGAGTGTGGCATGGTTGTTGGTGCCAGACGGGCCGGTCTGAGTATTTTAAAATCTGCTCAGTTACTGGGATTTTCACGCACAACCATTTCTAGGATTTACAAATAATGGTGTGAAAAGGGAAAAAAAAAAAAACAGTATGCAGCAGTGCTGTGGGCGAAAATGCCTTGTTGATGCTAGAGGTCAGAGGAGAATGGGCCGACTGATTCAAGCTGATAGAAGAGTAACTTTGACTGAAATGACCACTCGTTACAACCGAGGTATGCAGCAAAACATTTGTGAAGCCACAACACGCACAACCTTGAGGCGGATGGGCTACAACAGCAGAAGACCCCACCGGGTACCACTCATCTTCACTACAAATAGGAAAAAGAGGCTACAATTTGCAAGAGCTCACCATAATTGGACAGTTGAAGACTAAAAATGTTGCCTGGTTTGATGAGTTTCGATTTCTGTTGAGACATTCAGATGGTAGAGTCAGAATTTGGCGTAAACAGAATGAGAACATGGATCCATCATGCCTTGTTACCACTGTGCAGGCTGCTGGTGGTGGTATAATGGTGTAGGGGATGTTTCCTTGGCACACTTTAGGCCCCTTAGTGCCAATTGGGCATCGTTTAAATGCCATGGTCTACCTGAGCATTGTTTCTGACCATGTCCATCGTTTATGGCCACCATGTACCCATCCTCTGATGGCTACTTCCAGGAGGATAATGCACCAGGTCATAAAGCTTGAATTATTTCAAATTGGTTCCTTGAACATGGCAATGAGTTCACTGTACTAAAATGGCCCCCAATGTCACCAGATCTCAACCCAATAGAGGATCTTTTGTGGTGGAACGGGAGCTTCGTGCCCTGGATGTGCATCCCACAAATCTCCATCAACTGCAAGATGCTATCCTATCAATATGGGCCAACATTTCTAAAGAATGCTTTCAGCACCTTGTTGAATCAATGCCACGTAGAATTAAGACAGTTCTGAAGGCAAAAGGGTATTAGTATTAGTATGGTGTTCCTAATAATATTTTAGGTGAGTGTATATATATATATATATATATATATATATATATATATGTGTGTGTGTGTGTGTGTATGGGGTTTGATATTAACTTTCTGCTCACCAGCCACTGTGGGTAGGGGTTTTCTAAAGTTACTATCCATGCAGCATTTTCACTGTCCACAATTTTGACACGATATCATAGGGGAAAACTACCACAGATATATATTTTAATATTATCACATAATTTGGCAGACGGTATATTAGGCTGCTTTCGCTGTGTCTTTATGTGTATACACTGTTGGTGTGAGCATTAAATCTGCAGGAATGAGTACAATTATGCTCAATACACACAATCCCTCGCCGGAATTCAAGCCCATTTACTGTACCACCACCAACAATATTCATCCGGAGCAAATGAAACGAGTGAGTAAAGGGTTTGTGTATTAACTCGCTGTTGGAGAGATGAGAGAACAAGTATATTGTATAAAATTCTACCCGACAAAGTGGCTAGTAGGAGTGAATGCGTTAGACGCCACCGTTTAAAATCCACCCGCATTTGATTACTGTAATATAGTTGGTTACTGTCAAGCCCTGTATATATATATACATATATATATATATATATATACATACGCACAAACACACACATAAAGTGAGAATGAAAGACTTTTTTCGAAAACATTAAGCAATTGTACCAACCGCAAACTTGAACAAACCCCTTTATCAGAAAGGTTTGAAGAATCAGTTCAGTGCTGCCTTGCAAATACTATAATAAAGCCAACACAACTCTCACAGGCAGGAGTTGGTGTAAGCCGGTTATTTTAAATATTTTGTTTACACTGTGCCATATTGGAAATGCTGTGAGGTGGTAAATGGTCAGCCGTGACATTCGGTCAAACAGTATCAAGGACTGCCAGCAGGAAACCTCTGAAGACAGCAGATTTGCTTTCCGTTTCGCCCTATAAGCTTCATTAAGACTGTTCTCTTCATCCGTCTTTTGCTACAGAACCCAGTTGCTATGAGACCCCAATCAGTAGAAACCCAATTAAAGACACAAGGATGATTTTGGACCAGCTAACCGAAATAGTCCTTCTGATAGCAGCTAAATCCTGCAGCTGATGAGGACAAAATACCCCCGTTGTCATATATCCTTGCCCCCGTCCCCCATTCTCACTCTCGCTCTCTTTCTCTGTTTGACCTCTTCAATGACCTCTACTGTAAAATACAGCATTTAGCACTTTAAGTGCCTTCACGTCACGTAGTGAGCTAATTGCTCGACTTCAGTTGTTGGAAATCGCATTTTCCTTAATGAAGCTGACCGCAATGGAAGAGCTTCTTTATTTGCCTCTGCATTTTGAACACAAAATAGTGTGAAACACACACATACACACACACATGCAAAGAAGAGAGTTAAA